TAGATTAACTAGAATGATTGTTAATGCTATGGATGTTAGTGGTGTAGAAGGTACTTTTAGAATTACTTGTGAAAATGTTATGACAGTTTTAAGAGAAAATAAAGATAGTTTAATGGCTGTTTTAGAAGCATTTGTATATGATCCTTTAATTGTTAGATTACTTGGTGGTAAGGATGTTGATGATGACGATGATAAAATGAATAAAGAAAATCAAGGTGAAAATTATGTCATGAAATCTAAAGCTGTTTCTGTAATGAGAAGAGTATTAGAAAAATTAACTGGAAAAGATTTTGGAAATGAAGAATTAAATGTTCATGATCAAGTAGATAGATTGATTAGAGAAGCAACCTCAAATGAAAATCTTAGTCAATCATATCAAGGATGGTGTCCATATTGGTAATCTCACTTATCGAAAGAATCTATGAATTTTGTTTTAATTAAACACAATTTTTATTTCCTTTTTTTTTCTTTTCTTTCTTTTTTTTTTAATTTAAATTAAATATTAAAATGAATATTAAAATATTTATTATTTTAAAGTACTTATAGAATACAATCATATTATTCTTTTCTCTATTCCTTTAAAATACTTTTTTATTCTCGAGAAATTTTGACAGGTAAATTGCTATCAATTCAACTAACACGTTTCTCTTGACCTATTTTTCTTCTTTCTCATTCTTTCAATTGAATTTTATTATTTCTTAATTTATTATTATGGTATTTCTATTCAAAAAAATAACAAAAATTATTCTTTTTTATTATTTCTTAATTAAAACCTTTACTCACCAATCTACAACATCATTAAAATCTTCTTTTCTCTTTTGAATAATTTTCTTGTTCACTTCTGCAAAATATTTCTTTTCAAACCCATTCCCTCTATCAACCCCATCCCACTTATAATCTGGTGCAATTCCAAACCTATTTTGTGGAAATTTCCCTTGGTACTTTGGTCTTTGCTTTGTACTATTTTCTTTCTTCCCCTCCTTTATCTCATTCATTTCTTGTGCTTTTTCTTCAATTCCTTTCTTTATTTCTTTTTCTTTTCTTTTTTTAAACAATTGTCTCATCGGATCACCAAATCGTTGTTTCTCTCTATAAATCTTATCTCGTTCATCTTCTCTTGTCTTGAAAGGTTTCTTTTCTTCTTGATTCATCAATGCTCTTTTCCTAGATTGTAAATAAGAATTTATTATGTAGATGAATTATTTGTTTTTAAAAACAAAAATTTTATTCTTAAAACAAAAAATATAAAACAAGGAAAAATACAAGAAAAATCAAATGAAAAAGAAAAGTAACAAAAGTAACTTTACAAAAATACAGAAGAAAAGAAGGGGAAAGAAAATACGAATTATTTCTGTTTTAATAAAATGAATGTTATCGAATTTTTCGTTTAAATATTTAAACTAAATAACGTTAACTGTTTATATCAATTTTATGATTTCATTGTGCTTATTACTTCTTGCTTTAGTTAACGCTAAATGTTCTCATAAAGATTTTGCTATGTGTTCATCAAATAATTGTGCTGTTTCATATGATTATCTTCTCTTAGTTGAAACTTGGCCTGGACAATTCTGTCATAGTAAATGTTGTGATTTACCAAAAACTACTATGGCTCTTAAACCAGGATTTACTCTTCATGGATGGTGGCCAAACTTTGTTAGTGGATATCCATCATGTTGTAAATCACCATACACTGATGCCCAAGTTTCTAAAATGATTGAAAATGATCCAGAATTTATGGAAGCATTATCATACAATTGGGCTTCTCTTTCAAAATGCAAATTCTTTAATTATGAATATGATAAACATGGAACATGTGTAAGTGATGTTTATAATGGAGCAACTGGACCAAAAGATTATGCTATGACAGCTATTAAAATGTTAAATGATCATGATTTCTGGAAAGTTTTCAAAGCTGCAGGAGTTGTTGCTGATGGAAAAACTTCATATAAAAAATCATGGTTAAAAGAATTAGCTGCTAAAGAACTTGGAGTTGAAGGAGCTGTTTATTTCACTTGTAGTGGTAAGTATCTTAGTGAATTAAGAGCATGTACTATGGTTACTACTTCTACAAAAGCTAATCCACAATTTATTACTTGCCCATCAGGTGCTACAAAACAAGAGACTTGTGGAAATGATATTATTTTTGAGAAAGAACCAGTTTTAACTGATAGTGGATGTTTGTATTAAAAAATTTAATTACAAAAGTTTTCATTCCTAGTTGTGTTATTAGAATTTTTTTTATAAACATTGAATATGAATATATTGTAAATATTCAAAGTACTTTATAATTTTTAGTTTATTCATTTATTTTTCTCTTTTGAACAAACTCAAAATAAATTAAATATCGTTGATTTGTTATTTTCTTTCTTTTTGATAAAAGTCAGTCTTAGCATTTTTTGAAAATAAAAAAGAGAAGAAAGGTGATACTGTTCTATAGTTTGTGAAGGGTTTGATAAAAACAGAAGTACTAGAATAGTGTATAGAGTTAAGGATATGCATAGACAAAAACTTAATAATATGAATATTTTTAGTTTTAAAAATAGCATGGACTGGATATTGAATAGTATTTAAATAAACTTCAGTCCAACCATTAAAGTAGTGAAAACAAAAAAAGAGTGTTACAGAAAATTTTAATAAAGAAAAATAATGAACATCAAAAAATACATTATGAATGATTAAACTCTAACTGAACTAGTTTTTGAATGGTAGTGAAAAAATTAAAATATTGAACTTTAAAAGAATATAAGAGGATGAAAAAAATAGTCCAGATAAACCAAAAATAATAATATTAAATAAAAAGTGGAAAAATTAGATTTGTTTTTAAAAAAATAAAATGAAAAAAAAATAGTTATAGTATTGAAATAATTCATTAGAAATAATAATAAAAATAGCATCAGTTTTTGATTTTTTAAAAAAAAGAATAATTTTAGAAGTTTCTGTTAAAATATTAGATATTTATTTTAACTAATAATCTAAAAATTTATAATTGGAACAAGTTGAATAAAAATAAATCAATTATTCACAATTTATGATGAAATTAGAAGAACAAATTGAACACAAATCATATTTAATATCAATACAATTTTTAAACAATGAAGAATAATAGATAAAATTTTTATCTACTAAATTCAGTTTCTTTGTTTTTTATGAAAAAGAGAAAAGAAAGAAGATAAATAAAAGTATTAAAGAGAAATAAATTAAAATATATAAAAGTGGTTTATTGCATTACGAAAAATAAATATATTTAAAGGGAAGACTGAGAAATAATAAATCAAATGAAAATATTTTGTTTTGCTTTACTCATTGGTGTTGCCTTATCAAAGTCATTAGTGCTTATGTTAAAAAATGATGACGGAGATCTGTTGCATTCTCTGAAGTTGAATTTAAGAAATGTTATTATGTTGGTGAAAGTTCATCTGTTTATACTACCTGTGATGGAAATACAATTACAATGGAATACTACGAAAGCGGTTCATGAAGTGAAACAAAAGAAGTAGTTAGTTTTGATATAAATAATAAAATTATAAAAGAGTCAATGTGTGAAGGTTTTGATGGTTGTAGTATTGAAATTAAAAATCCACCAAAGCATATTGGCTTTGCAAATGAAGAAGATGACAAGGATTGCTCTCTTCGTGATACGTTTTAGAAATTATATTACTGACAAGTGCTACAAATAAGATAATGACTATTGCAAGTATGAAGAAGAAGATGGTTGGATGTACTCAAATTCTTATCCAAATAATAGGTGTGACAACAGTGAAAGAAAAGAACAAACTAAATTATGGTAATGTGATACTTGTGCTGAAGGAAGTACGTACCAATGTGGAGCTGTTTCTATTATGGTTGTTTCTGTTGTTGCAGTTATTCTTACATTCTTCCTTTAAACAATAACTTGGTTTTATTTCACTTTGAAATTTTATGACTAAAATTAATAAATGAGTACTCAAAATCTTTATTTTTTAAATAAATTCAGATTTATTTTTATTCGTTCCTTGAAAATAAAAATAGTATTTTAATATTGTCTCTTTATTATTTTGTATATTGATAGTTAATGGATTTTTTCTTAATTTTTTTATTAAAGAAGTTTTCATTTATTTAATACTATTAGAGATTTTCATGTAATTAATTACTCAGTACTTTTAACAATAACTGTGTTCTTTATAAATTCTATTTTATTTTAGTTATACAATAAGAGAAATAGCATCTAGTTAGTATTAATAGAATAAAATAAAAAATAGAAAAGATGTTAAGATGATAATAAATTTATTTTTATAAAAGAAATAATGGAGTTTTCATTCTTTTCTTTATTATTTTTTTTTTATTTTTTTTTTTGTTTTTGTATTTATAAAATAAAAATAAAACAATATATTCTTTTTATTCTTTATTTCTTGTTCTTTTCATTCATTTTCTACGTTTATGTGGTGTTGTGTATTATTATTTATTTATTATTTAGATTCCATGTTCTTTATTGTGAATCTTGTTTATTTAGAAATGGAATATACTGATAAATCATGTTAATGAAAGAGAAGTGAATAACAAATATTTATAAAGTATTCTTCTTATTTTTAATAACATCCAATACATCAAATATATTATATTCAATATTAAAGATAAATAAATCAATACTTAACTTATTAACATCAAACATTGAATATTCATCATTTTAAATGAACATAAAAGTTGAACAAGATTACAAGAAATCAATAAAATAATAATTCATTAAGAATAAAATAAACATATTTCATTATCATCCAAATTATCAAATAACAAAATAAAATAATAACAATAATCTAATTATAAATCAAATAATTATATAATTTTCATATTTTATCTATTTCTATCTTTATATTACTCCTTTATTACAAATTTTAAAAACATCAAACAAACGGAAAATGAAAAAAGGAAAACTACAACCACCAAATTGAGTTTCTTCTATTGAGAAGTGATACCTCATCTTCTTTAAGAAGCAAGGGGAAAATGAAACATAAAACAATTAAATATCTTAAATTAAATATTAAAATTTTTAGTATAATCTAAAAATAGAAAAGATTAAAAACTGACACATATTTGAGGTATAACTTTTTGTAGAAAAGATAAAACTTTAACTCACCATTTTTCAATTAAATGAATATACCTATTTAAGAAGATAAAAACTGATGAATAATAAAAGAATTAAATAAATGAGTTCTTTCTCTTAAACAAGAGAGGACTTATAATTAGTAGAATTAATAACCAAAAATAAAAAGATAAAAACTTGATTTATCAATAACGTAGAAAGAGGATTAAATAGTTGAATAAAAAATAAAATAAATATAAAATATATTTGGTTATCATAAAATAAATAGATAAATGATAATAACTAATATTGATAATTTTATGATAACAAGGTATAATACTATTCAAAGTAATTTTTTTAGTCAATAATCTATGTAAAGAAGAAAGGCATAATAGAATAATATAATAAAGAGGAATTAAGCGAGAGTATAAATGTAACTTTGGAAAAGCAAGAATTAAAGGAAAAGAAAAAAAAAAAAGAGATATAAATAAATTAAAAAAATAAATTTTAAAATAAATACTTTATTAGTTTTTAAATAAGTTTTAACCAAAACAAACAAATCAAAATAAATGAAAAACTTAAATTAAGAAATAAGTGATCTGGTGTTAGTATTGAAGCATATTTTTTAACATCATTTCATTAAAATTTTATGTAAAAGTCATTATTTAATAGTGTTTGAGTTTAAAGAAGTTTTTAACCACAAAATAATTAAAAATATAATAATGATAATATACAAAATTATTTAAAAAGAAGAAAATAACTTAATCTAAAAAAGTTAGTCTAAATGGGAATCGACGCTAAAACTTCAAAAATTTTATCTCAAACATATTTTATTGTATCTGGTTGTTTTATACTCTTTGGTCTTGGATTGTTTGGAAACACATTTGTCCATATTGGTATTAGTTGGTTGCTTTCTTTAGTTGGAACTATCACAGGGCTTTTTATGTTTTGCACTGAATCTCCAAAGTTAAAAGCATATTTCATTTCTATTGGTGCTCTTGGACTCGGATTTGGTGCTGGTGCATATTGTACTTATCGTGGACTTGACAATAGTGAAATCACTTTTTGTGCTCTTGCTACTGCTCTTACTTTTGTGTCTGCTACATTAGCTTCTCTTGTCACAAGAGAATTAACATTGTTATATATTTCTGTAGCCACCCTCTTTTTATTTGCATATATTCCTTTATCTATCTATTACATATTTTCTTGGGGATTTACTTCTCTTTATCTTCTTCTTTCACTTGGGTTAGTCATATCAGTCATTTGTCTAATGATAGATACTCATAAAATTATTTTGTCAATTGAAGGAGGAGTTATTGATCCATTCATTCTTTCTTGGATTCTCTTTGAAGACGTTTATGACTTATTCATGAACATCGCTAAAGTCATGATCGTTAACAAGAAAAAGGATGATGATTAAGTCATATTAGTTTTTATTATTGTTATATTTTTATTACCTTCTCTTTAGGACGATATTTTTTTAGGTGTTTTAATAAAATAACTACCCAAAACATATCACAAAAGAAGGAATTAATATAACTGATAAGTTTTTAATATAGAAGAATAACTGTAATTAAGGATTACGAGTGTGGACATTAATAAAATAGTTTTTATATAAAGAGTTATCACCATAAAAATGGAGGGAAATCAATATTTTTCGTTTGTTCAGTTTCAATAAACATAACACAGATATTATCATGCTGAGAGAAATCTCACAATAGATACAAAAAATATATAAACGATATCAAAATAAATAATGAAGAACAAAATGAATTAGAAACAAAAAGTAATTGAATAAATACAAAATTAACACTTTAGAAAAGAATAAATGAAAAAAGAAGTTAAAACATTAACAAAAATTAGGTGACATTAAGAGTACTAGTAATATAGAACATATATTGTTAACAATATGGTGAAAATGTTATCTTTTATAAAAAAAATGATAGAATAAAAGAATAAAATAAGACAATGACCAAATTATTAACAAGAAATATGCACAACTATTTAAATACTAATTTATTGATGGACCTAAATAATAATGAAAATAACTTCTATAATAAATAAACATAATAATGATATTACTTTTACAATATATAATAATGATTTAATAGTTAATAATAATTGATATTTTAGTTTGTCAATTCAATAATAAAGAAATAAACTATGTCTATAAAATACACATGAAGAAGTTGAATAAAACTTAATATAAAACGAATGTATAAAAATACTCGTTATAACATTATCAATAAATTGGTTAAAAATAAATAAGAAGACTGGAATTAGCAAAAGTAAAATAAAATTTAATGTAATAAATAAATGTTTCATTCATTATTTTTTTAAATATATAGAAAATGAACGTTATAATAGAACTATTATAAATGAAGTATTCCATATGATTAAATAATTAGATAAAGTAATATTCTAATAATTGATATATAGTCTTTTACTTAATAAAGTGATAAGAAACATAATTTAAAATATATAAGTTAGTAAATTTATTGTGTACACATATTTGTTAATGCTTATTTTATTCAACAAAATAATGAGAGACGTAGTAATAATGTAAAGAATAAATTGTCATGTAATTTATTTTATATAATTAAAATATTCATTTTTATTTTATACCACTGTGTATTGATTTATTGATGAAAAATATAATTAAATTCTTTTTATTATTTAATTTTTGTTACATTGATTTAATATATAAGGTTCATTGATCACCTTGTTTTATAGAAGTGATTATTCTTATCCTTTGAAATAATAAAAACTAATAGTTATTACTGACAATTATCTTTTATTTATGCTTTAATCTTTTTTGTTTTATTAAATAACAATATTTTGTTATTTAGTGTTACACAAATATATTTTAAGCAAAAAGAATGAAGGGAAAAATCTCGAATCTGAACTAAAAAAAAATGAACTGATAAAAAGAGAAAGACATGTCAAATAAAAATCACAAGAAAGTTCTATTAAAAATGATTCTTATTGGTGATTCAGGAGTTGGAAAATCTTCTCTCATGAATCAGTTCATTGAAAAGACATTCACCGCACAATATAAAGCAACTATTGGAGCTGATTTCCTTACAAAGGAAGTTACAATTAATGGAACTGCTACTACACTTCAAATTTGGGACACTGGTTTGTGTCTTTTCATTCTTATTACTTTTGTAATTTGAAATTAGAGTTATGATTAATTAATTAGCTGGACATGAAAAGTTTATGAGTTTTGGTGCTGCATTTTACCGTGGTAGTGATTGTTGTCTTTTAGTTTTAGATATCACAAACGAAGCTTCCTTCAAATCACTTGACACTTGGAAAAAAGAGTTCCTCAACGGTGCTAATGTGACTAATCCTAATGATTTCCCATTTGTTGTTTTAGTCAACAAAATGGATGAAGACCCATCCAAACGTGCTGTATCTGTTTCTGATGTAAAACAATGGTGTGAGAATAATGGCAATATTCCTTTGTATGAAACATCTGCTAAGACTGGTGCTCAAGTTGATACTGCTTTCTTAGATATTGCCACTAAAGTTGTACAATCTATGAAAGAAGTAAACAATACTCCATCAGGGAGTATCAACATTGAAACAACATCTCCAGAGAAAAAAGAAGGAGGGTGTTGTTGATTAATTTTACATTTTTTGGAGATACTTTTCTCTTTTAGGTAAAAATATCCCCCTTATCAATTTTTATTATATTGTTACATAAACTATTACTATTCATCTAATACTTTGTTTCACAATTAGATTTTGATGAGAATACAAATAAATAAAGTTATTTCTGAGTTTTAACAAATATGCATAAATAATTCTGAATAATCTGAAAGGGATTTTAATTCTTCTAGTATTCTTTTTTTTATTGTTTTTTTTGATTGTGGTTATGAACTCTTTTTATTTACTTATTCTTAAAAGCTCTAAGAGTAAATCATTATTTTATAAAAGTGCAACTCCTTCTTTTCTATATAAAGGGTTAACCTTTTAATAAAAAGATATCTTTTTTATTATCTTCCTATTTGTTTCAATGAGACATAGCTCAGATGTATTATTCAAAACTAATAACGGTCACTGCTAAAGATGGATTGACAACTGCTCTATAGTGAGTTGCTCTTATGGTTTGGATTATTTATTTTTCTTGTTTAATGGTATCTCGAATATATTTTGGGATATATACATGAAATAGAAAAACTAATTAGAAAATACTTAAAACATCTTTTTTGATATTTTTTTCTCTTTCATTATTTTTGTGATTATTGGTGTAGTATTTCTTTATTTGTCTTGATAGCTTTATTTGAGCTAGTTTTATTTATTGAGCCATTCTTGTTTTTGTTATTACTATTTTGTTATGATATATTGAGTTTTCTTTTGAGTTAATTTCAACATAGTTGTTAAATATAAAATATACGATTTAATTTTTGTATTCATTTTTTTTTGATTTGATACACTTCTTCAGCGTTTATTTTTATTTACCATTGTTTGAAGGAAGACAGCAAAGGATAATGAATGAAAATAAAATTTCATGGCTCTATTTCTAATAATTTCATAATTGGTGTAAAATCACTAGTCTGTATAAAACTAATCAAATTTATGTATAATCATAAACTAAGATTAATTTTATGACCTTAATCCTGTGAGAAGGTATTGTAATAATTTTTTTGTATTCTCTAGTTCAACGTAACTGAATTTTATTAATCGAAATAGTTTACTCAATCACACTTTAATATCCTAAAAGTCAAAACTGTTAATAAAACCAAATATTTTATAAAGTAGTATTATGTACATTCGTCAAGGAAAGTTATTATGACAGTGAAATCTTTTTAAAAGGAAATAGAATATATCTTAGTTAAAATAATTTTGTTTTGTCGTTCTTTTTATGTTTCACTAAACGTCATCACATTTATTCAAGTCATTATTTCTTATTCAGTAGATACACAATGGTAAGAATGTTTTATTGTTATTGGTGTTATTTGTATTACATTTTAATAAATACTATTACCACTATATTGTTAAAGAAATATATGACAGTTAAAAGATTGATAATTAGTATATTTTTGTTTGTAGTAATAAAACGTAGTTCATTAACTTGGTTAAAAAAAAAGTTTTATTGATTTAGAGTGCTTGGGAAGCAATTTATTATTATAACATTCTTTATTACTTTCAATAGAAAACAACAATAAACTGTATCAATTTTTTTATTAAGTTAAATGTTATCATATTTTAGAGTTGACTTGATGAATAAACTTATCAAAAATAATGGAATTTATGATAGGATAATTTGATTGTGTTTGTTTTAATAATAAAGAGAGTAAATCCAATAATATCTATTATATTCATCTTAAAGTTGTAAACCTAATTATTTGTATTCATTATAAATGGAGTTTTATTTGAGAGAAATGTGTTATTGCTCCTTCTTTAAATTCATTAGAACAAGTGTTATATTCAATCAAAAAAAAGAAAGATTCTTGTTTAAAAGATATAAATAATTTCTATGAAGGGAGTTATTATTGTTTTATTTTTTAAAATAAATTAAAATAAATTGGGAACAACAGAAAATAATTAATGTTTAGAAAAGTTAAGAGAGAAATTATTGATATTAACTCTGAACCACATAAATAAACTTAATCAAATTGTACAATATTTGCAAGAAGAGGAGACCCTTTTTGACTAACTAATGGAAAAATTGAACTTTCTGGATAATTAATAAAAAACATAGAATCATCCTCCTCAATTTCTTCTTCTTGTCTCAACTGAGAAGGTGTAGTAAGAACAAGAAAACAATTGTCTATTTTTCTTTTGTATGCTTTTTCTATTAATTCTTTATAGTGTTGAGATTGTGACATTCTTTATAGAAATGGTTAAGAATGACAATATCAGTTTTGGACAAGGTTAAACAAGAACTTTCCATTTGATAAAAATGGAATATTGAAACATTATAATGGAAGATGAATCATTTTAGCACAATATATTTTTATTTTTCAAACTTTTTAAACAACTTATTCTCATTTTCAATTTATCAAATCATTACTAAACCCTTAACTTAAAAACAATAACAATTATTCATTAATTGATTATACAACATATCAAAAATTATTTTTCTCATCAAATTAAGTATAGACAAATAAATCTAATCAACATATTTTGTTTAGCTTAATTCATTAATATTTTTTAATTTTCAAATAGTGTTATATTTAACATAAATAAAAATAGAGAGAGTTTTTGAAAACCTAAAAATAAAGAA